TCTTTGGACCTGACCTGAAATTGCCTATGCAGCCTTCAGTAAAAGTTGGACTAGTTGCCTTTTTCTTTATCATTTTTTTATATCTTCATATTCACATTAGCTGCTATGCATGATTGCAGAATTATATCCTGGTAGTTTTGGTGATTGTATGATGCCAGTTGGTATCTGTGAAATAAGTTGTTTAAATGACGGCTTTAACTCTTTTTGAATTTTTCTTAGCCACTGGGATCAAATTTTTAGTTGTATTTGGATGGTTTTAATGATCTAACTCATTTGTAGTGCCACCTTTTGACCATTATAGTCATTTTTGCTTAATTTGAAATTGTAACCTGCCATGGATTTTAAAATAGCTTTTTGTGTTATAAACTCAAACTTTTAGGATAGAAAAATTTTAGCTGTAGAGGGACTAAGAACTTGTTTTCCAATTATCCTAATCCTTTTTATTGTCATTGGACTCCAACTGCAAGGTATTATTCCTTGTTTTAATATTTTGTTCTTCCCTGGAAACCCAAACCTCTTTTTATAACACCAGTTTTAGAGAATAGTTTATTTTGTCATCATTATTATTTATATGCTGGTAGCCTTTGTTTATTTCTTTTGGATTGTGTTTCTCCACTATGAAGCTCTTCTTAAACTTTCTGCCCATACTGTTGTTCATCACAGCTCCCGTCAATTCTTGGCATAGGAATGCCTTTGTTAAGCTCACTCAAGTAGTTGCACAATCCACAAATCTGATGGAATTCTCCACTCTCAGGCTTCCCTTTTTTAGATATTTTCAGTTGGCTACCCTCAGGCATTGGATCATGGATTTTCCATATTGTCAACCAGATTAATAATACTCATTGTCATTGTAACAATCGTAGGGACTGTTAAATTTTGTGTGAAACTTTTCATAAATGCCGTTACTCAAAAGACCCATTTAATGCCTATGAAAAGAATAATATACATTGATGGTACTTATATTTCAGACATACTTGAGCACACTCCTTGAATAAGACATCAGATGTCAGATTATTCATCTAATGTGGCCTGCACTGCACTAACCCTCAAATAATAAAGCCACAGAAGCAAGAGGCTAAGCTACGGCAAGGTGAAGACGTCAAATAGTGCCCAGCTATCTTTTCACAATGTTCTGCTGCTATTTATAGTTTGATTTCATTTTTCTTGAATCCATGGCCGGTGCCCCTGGAAGCAGCAGTTAGGAAATCAAACGATGTGTTACATTTGGACAAATCTGCTGCAAAAGACCTTTTTGAAATGTTAAAAATTAAGGATGACATGTTGAGGACTGGAGTGCACTTGACCCAGACTATAATTTTTTTTGGTTGTCTCATATGCATGTGACTGTTGGACGGTGAATAAGGAAGACTGAACAAGAAGTGACACCTTTGTATTAGAGTGCTGAAGAAAATTGAATGTGCCATGGACTGCCGAAAGAGTGAACAAATCTGTCTTGAAAGAAGTACCAGGCAGGAGTTCATTCCATTGTGCATGGAGTCACTTATAAGTCAGAGCCAACTGGATAGCATCTAACAATAATAGTAAACTTTTCACATGCATAGCACCCAAGGTCTTAAAGACGTGTAAGTAAGCAGCCATCCAGAATAACCATATGCTCAAAGTCCATGCAGAAGAAACCCTTTTTTCAGAACAGCAGCTAGTGAACTGATCAAAGAATTTCTCTTGAAATCCTTGATCAAAAGGACGGAATGTGTAAAGAAATTAAAGAAAAAAAATTAAGGTACCTGATAAGATCTGAAATGGCAAGTGTGAGGATTGGGTGCAATTCCTTGTTTGCTGGTTCCATTTTCACCCTAGTGGCAGCCATCTTCTGACTAAGAGAGGAATGTTCAGTAATGATGATGTAACTAAACTGCAACCCCCTCACGTCACAATTACCAGTGTAACTGCCACACTATAACCAATCTAAGAAAGTGATGTATACTCTTTTAAGCCAATTACCTTACACCGCTTGTCATAGGAAGTCCTGCCTTACAAGTTCCCCCACAGGAAGTCCTGCCTTAAAATGATCTACTACCAATCTAGTAATGTCTTTCAATGATCTAAGCCTGTATTTAACAATCAAATAATGTCTTTTGATACTCTAAGTTTGTGAATACCAATCAAGTAACGTGTTTCATATCCACTGTTTACTTCCTATAAAATATTACTACTGAATTGCCATTTTGATTACTGGATTCCACCACATGGAGTTTAGTCTATTCCCAACTCGAGCTGTCTCTTTTCTTTCAATAAATCTCTCAATTTTCCATTAATCAGAGTATGGATGGTTAATCTATGGCAGATAAGTGGCAGGGATAAACTTTAGCCTGAAACTAAATCTCATATGCTTTCCTTCTCCACTAAACTGTTTACCAAACGTTGAGAAGTTAAACTTCTCATTTTTCTTCCATTTTGGGTCCAGCACACATTCTGCCAACTCTGCCTAAGATTTGCCTGGTGAATGCATATTCCTAGGTCTCTGCCCCAGAGATTCTAATTCAGTAGTCTGGGTGGGAGTGGTGAGGGTGCTGCTGCATAACCAGCATCCCAGATAATTCAACTGAGATGGTCTGACCTGTGGAATTAAATGAAGACCAACCAAATGAGAAAAACGGAGGCTATTTATTCAGAGCTTGCGATAGCAAGGTAGCTAGCCACCATCACTTGTCTTTGGCAGAGGCTCAGAGTGGGAGGGAAGCAGGAAAGCTTTACAGTGAAAAAAAAGAGAAAGCCTCGGGTATTCTCTGATTGTAGGTTGTTGGCCTGGGAAGGTGGAGGAGACTAATTAATTGATTCAGGGAGCATATTCGGCTTTTTCTGGTTGATCCCGAGTTGAAAGCAGAGGGTAAAAACAGGAAACTTGGCAGTCACTGATCAAGTCCTTGTTGTTCTGGTCCAATATCTGCAGAGGTTGTGGTTTGGCTTCCCGGACTTACGAATCCAGACTTCTATTATCATATACGGTATGTGCATTGTCCATTTTTTATATTCCAGAGACCATACTCTGAGAAACACACGGGGCCTGTCTCTGGTGGTGGTTTCATCCTACCCTCCTTCCTCCCTGAAGGTGTTTGGACTGTAAGTCCCATGAGAGCTATGGACCGTCTCTCACCACTCTATTACCAGTGCACTCCAGCACTCAGAAGGCTATCGAGAAAATCTTAATAATGAATGAATGAGAAATGAAAATATTTGATACTGGCTTTTGTTGGAATAAGAAAATGAACTTTCTGGTGTAGCACGTGGGTAGTTTTATATGACTGGACTGGCCATCACCACCAGGAAGAAAAGCTGGAGGCTGCTCCTTCTAGCTACTCCGCTCTAAATCTAAATAACCTGAATCCTAGCACACCGGGATTTAGCCTTGGCCCCTGCAGGTCCCAGTTTTTCTCAAAGCTTCCAGGTTAACTCATGGTGTGCAAATCAGCCTCTGAGTGCTCTGCTGAAGATGGGATGGGGTTTGTGGAAAAGCTTCGGCTACTTCTAGCATTTTGAAGGCAACTTCAACGCTAGACCTTTAGTTTTGCTGCATTCTTTCCACAATTTCACCTCCACCTCTCCGCCCACCATTAGGGGCTAGGTTGGTGAGAGCTACTGAGAGAGGAGAAAAACGCCTCACTCCCACTCCCCATGGTCTTAAGTCATGATTTACAGTTTCTCTGAGAGAATAAGCACGAGTGTATACGCGTGTGTGAGAGAGAGGCAGATAGATCCGAAGATTGAGTCGAAAGCTAGCGGCGCGGGCACTCCCCTCGTGGAAGCCGTCCCACCTGCTGCCGGGGGGAACCGCCTGGGAGGGGCCGCAGCCGCGCGCCTGCCCGCCCTGCCCCCGCCCGCAGCGCCGCCCGGTGACGGGGGAGTTTCTGCGAGTGGCCCCGCGCCCGGGACGCGTGGGGGGCTATTCGGTCGGAGGCGGGGGAGCAGCCTGGGCACCAAAATAGGCGCCGCTTGTGGGCTGGAGCTGCACTAGCAGGCAGCCTCCGCCGCGCCTCTTCCAAAGATGGTCAGAGGGTCCGGAGGTGTCGCCGCCCGCCACTAGCCCGCCGGCCAG